AAAACAAAATTATTTTAATGATTAGTTATACAGTTATATCAATAATAATGATCATAATCGACGTAGGGTAAACTGATAATTGTATAATGTAGTTGTTGGTGCTTGGTCTTTGACAGTGACATTTAGCATATATGAAATAAATATCATCAGTACTTACGAAACGGAGTGTCTGTAGAATAATTAAAAAGTTGGTTCAAGAGACTAACTGTGAAGTTAAATAAATGCTTGTTGAATCAGTTTTTGTTGTATGATGTCTATAAAGTAGGATACAGTAACCACAATGTTATAAACCAAAATATATCTGAACAGTAAACAGATTTTTGTTTAAAGAACAAGACTACGAGTCCCATTACTTTTCTTCAAGTTCACAAATATTATCACTTTGGTAAAGTAGTAAACCATTTCATTGAGTTTGAATTTATCTCATTTGGTGGACAAATGTAGAAGAGATGTATGCAATTTACGAACAGTTTATAAAGTTATACTAATGCAGACGTAAAGGCAAGGATTGGCAAACCAACAACAGCATTCCTCCAGTTGAAGAATATATGCAACTCAAAATAGATGTCTGTCTATCAATTTCAAAGTGAGAATCTTCAATACGAACGTCAAAACAGTTCCACTGTACGGTGCTAAAACATGGAGAACTACTAAAACCACCATCAAGAGGGTACAAGCATTTATAAACAACGGTATGCGTAATATACTGAATGTCCGTTGACCGGATACCATCGGCCACACCCTATTCTGAGTGAGAAAAATCCAATTTTTAACTGAAGAGGAGATGAGTAAAAGACGTTGGAGGTGGATAAGACATACATTGAGGAAATCATCAGACTGAATCACGAGACAAGCGTTAACTTGCAATCGTGAAGGTAAACGGAAATGTGGAAGACCAAAGAATATACTACGTCGAGTATCGGGAGCAGACATTGAGAGGATGAATAGCAATTAAAAAAAAAGTGGATAGGATTTCCCAGGACAGAGTTGGATGGAGAGTGCATGTGGATGGCCTATACTCCTCTACGATGGGTAACAGTCATAAGGAAGTTAAAATATTATAGACAATATTTTCTATATGTTGTACAAAAATTAGAGGACTTGGTAAATTGCCTCAAAATCAATATCCATATATATTCAGCTTGATGTTTAAAAATCTCAACATTAAGTGTTAGGTCTATCTGAATAGACTTTTATTGTACTTGTTTTATAACTTCAATTTTGACATCAGGCTAATGTCAAACGCTATGAATATCAACTGCTGAAGTCATGATTTTTAGTTACCGTCAGGTTAAATGCATTTAAGCATGTTTAGGTTTATTGCATTGGTTAAACATGATTGTGTATATATTAGAAAGATGTCTGACAATGATGCAGTAGTTCACAGTTAATAAAAATGATGATTACATGTTTTGCATATATTAAGCTAAATGGTTGAAGCTTGATTAGTTAAAACCCTCGTCGTTGAAGACGAGATTAGCTAAACAACGGCATAGAAATAATCATTCGTCTATGACGTATATATATATCTTTATACATAAGCATTTAGCTAGATATCTCTCTTTGTACAAAGCTGTTCATACTTTTCTTAGCTCTTGTATTTAGTTGGTCAATATTAACGAAGACCAATCTCTATATCTTACAAATATTAACCGATATCCTTTAATACATTTACAACAATTCACTGTAACAATGATTGAAAACATTCAACATATAGCTTGAATCTCCACTTTCCATAAAACATGGATAAAACATTCTTTCAAAACTCATACAATTAAAAGAATGAAGATTTAATTAAGGAAATTCCTGGATGCCTCAAATACCATACATTAAATACATTATTTGCACATCACCCTTCAGTTGTACTTCACATACTTTTTTATTCCTCTAATTCTGTTGTTATTACAAACGCTGTCTGTTTTCTTTCCTATTCACTTTAATTCAAGTTTCTGCTGGTAGGCATTTCACTTTTGATTGCTGCTATATACTACTCATATCTATCAGCACAAGTAGCATGCACCACAATAAAACAGTACTGTTTGTACAATTGTAAATTTACATTGAAGACATTCAAACTTTCTCTAGCCCATTCTACTTACGTTTTGTCAAATAGACCCACTATAATGTTAAAGAAAATTGGAAGTATCAGGAGGAGTATATCAAACTTTGGTACATAATAGAAAACTTATATATTCGAATGTTTTCGGATTATAACTTACACAATAAATAAAGAAAATACCTTGGTAATGATTCACTTATCAACCCTGACCGTTTTCATATGAGCATATGTGTATGTACACTTCTTATCCTATTCATCACATATCTGTAACTTATTCTTGTCTGAATATAAATATCGATTAACGCTTGATTAATGCGAGTCGGTTTACTCGCCATCGCTAATGCGGTTCGTTTTCGCTTCTCTCTCTCTTCCATTCACTTCATCCTTCTGATTTCTTGTCCAGATCAATTAATGTACAAAATATATGTGTTCGAAATCCATTCTCGTATTTGACTTATTTAATTCCTTTATTCACGAATGCGGATTAAGTGACGTATTACATACAACGATAGACAGGATGTTTAATTTGACAACAATCGTTCATACGATCTTATTGGAGTCAGATTGTAGACCCCACAACTACACTACGATCTTTCATTCATTTTTAGGTTGTAATTTTGCTATATATATTCTGATATGCTGAATTGTGTCAGTGATTGATATTAACTATACTATTAAATAGAAGTAATCCAACTCTAATTGTCTTATACATTACTACATATTACTGGCTATTTCAATAGATAAGATGACAATCATCACATAAATAGATATTTTGTATTATTCACTTATATACGAGATACACCTACATAGACAATTATGGTAAAAAAGATAATCAAAATATGAAGTGTTGACAAGGCAACATCACTGTGATGTAAACATCTTCATACATGTATGTACTATCAGTTTATTGTTCTCTTTTTTGTTTGTTTTTTTACCGTACCACATCAAATGTCGCGCCTATATTTTATCAATTTAATCAATAGAATAAAAGAAACTTACAGAACCTTTGATTTTAAAACAAAAAGGTAACCAAATTTGATTATAATCAAGGTTGAAACATGATGGAAAATGATGATACCTGTTTGAGAATGAATATCGACTTTAATCAACAATCAGTAATAATAGTCTGTTGTTCATATAATCTTATAAGTAAAATGATAATTTATTATCAGAAGGGGTTTCTGTTGACATTATATTAACCCCTCCTGATATTATTCAACATATGCTTACTAGTGACTGATTTCAAGAGGTATTTCCTTGAGTTCTAGTGAAAATAATTGACCAGTGGAGTTCAACCAGATCTGTTGTGAAATAGTAACTCATTGAAGACAATGGTTGATGTGTGACTCAATTTCATGAATTAGTTGATGTTAAACATTAACACCGTTGGATGCCGATTCAGTGGTCTGGTGGTTAAGCGCTCGCGCGCGATACTGATATATCCTGTGCTCGAATCCCGTGAAGTGGGATCGTGGATGCTCATTGCTGAGAAGTCCAACAATAAGGTGAGATGGCTGTACAGTGCTTCCTGGTTTTCCATTGTGGCATAGCTTCAATTGACTTATGATTTCAACTATAAAATTCGTTAATATTGTTGATTTTTCGAAGGTTTTTCTTTTAACGTTTTGCATTCCTTCTGAAATGTTGTCCATGTGCAGTGAACAAGAACACGAGTGGGGACAATCAAAATAAATGTGACGTGAAACTACAGAACATCTCAGTAAAATCTGGGAACCATGTTGCAAATAGTTTATTTGCAAAATAACAATCCATCGTCTTAAACTTGACCGTTCCTTTTTCAAAAATATCAGTCCATCATCTCCGGTTATTATTGTTCATGCATTTTCATACCTATTTCGTTTTGTTCCCTTTGTTTCCTTACCGATCTTCAACTGAAATACATTCTTTGCCTGACCACCGTTATATACTACCTATGTGGATATAAGTAATCCACAGCACACATACATAGTGTATATCGAAATGCTAAGCGACTTAATTCTGATGTTATAGTTTCAAACTTTGCAAAAAATTTATAAATCAACATAAGCTGTTTTATCAGTATAGAATTATGGTGATTGTTGAGTTTCAATTGAGATCATGAACCGATTGATGTTAGACAGCCATTAAAAACCTGGAAGCACTAGACGGCCGTTTCGTCTCATTGTCGGACTCCTCAGCAGTGCACATCCACGTCCTTGCTCGCGGGATTCTTGGATCTATTTTTTGGTCTCAAAAGATTTATACAGAAAATTATACACTTCATTTTGAAGGTATTTCAACTAATATGATGATTTTAATCATGATAATTTAGTTTTAAATACATATCCCAAGTGCCCTGGTATGGTCAAGAGTGGGGATAGGCATCTCTCGCTCTCGAAATGCTCTCACATGTCCATACGTATACAGCCGTTGCCAGGAAAGTCCTACTCACTGCCTTCTCTAACCAGGGTTGTTGCTTACGAAATTGAGAGGACAAAAAGCGAATATCCGGCACTTTAACTGGAGTAGTGGAAATGGAAGATCCTCCTAGGGGAGTTGGAAAACCCTGATTCCAAACCAGTGGTGCACGTGGACTCTAGGATCCTGAAAGATTAAATGGCATATGAACCAATCGTTGGTCACTGACTACCACGGGACTAAATCTCCTGATGTTGGCTCTACTGCATTGTGGACTATGCCTTTAGGTCTAAGGCTCCGGTTGTAGCCCTTTAGGCAAACCACCTTCTTTGATCATGGCACCCGGGCAGTATCACAACCCACACACAAAAAAAGTGACTTGTATGGCGCATATCTATTTAGTGCCTGTTTGTACCATTATCTATGTGCTCAAATAATAGTACTAATAATAGTAAAATTATTTTCTGATAATTTCCAATGATTTTTATTGTACAGGAAACTAAGGACAAAATTTTTTTTATTTGGAGCCCATCCACAATTTTTTATTGGTTGAATTATTCAATCTTATTAGCCAATCAAATTTGTATGTTTCATAAATAAATAACCAATCAAATTGATTATTTAAATATCAGATATTTTATTTAATACCTTAATACTTTGACAATTTGATCATACAGAAATGATTCTATTGTTCATATTGTTGGGTAAGAATATCAGTCATTTTTAGGGAGGTATTTTTAAAATTTATTTATATTTAAAATAAGTTTTATTTTATATATATCTTATTTCAATTATATGTCAGTTAACTTACTTCCGCCTGTTATCCCTCGTGGAGGAGCATAGGCCGTCCACCAACATTCTCGATCCAACCCTGTCCTGGGTGATCCTTTCCAGTTATTTCCAGTTAACATTCATTCTTTTCATGTCTGCTTCTATTTCCCGACGTAAAGTGTTCTTTGACCTTCCTCTTTTCCGCAACACTTCCTGAGTTTAAAGGGTTAGTCTATGATAAATATCGATTAATTGTATGAGTAACGTGAGTTAACCAGATATACAGAAATATAGGATTTATTACAAAAATTAAAAAAAAACTTACTTCGCAAAGACGAAAAGGGGTTATATCCTTGAAAAACTAAGCACAACGATATGATATTGTTAACAACGTATTTTATTTTAACTTTACTAGTGTACGAATTTGTGATTGAAGTTCTTCGAACTTTTGAAATGTTATAAAAACACAGTGCCAAAGTTTGACCACAAAGAATTCCACAATATTTGGGTGTTTTTCACTAAACACTTACCAGTGAATTTATGATCTGGTTATTAAAATAATGTATTTATACATTATTTAAATAACCAGATCATAAATTTATGTCACAAGGCAAGCCCTCACATGGAATCCTGAAGGTCAAAGGAGAAGAGGAAGACCAAAGAACACATTACACCGAAAAATAGAGACAAACATGAGAAAAATGAACAAAATTAGGATAGAACTAGAAAGAAAGGCCCAGGACAGAGTGGGTTGGAAGATGCTGATCGGTGGCCTATGTTCCATTGGGAGTAACAAGCGTAAGTAAGTAATTGAAATAATTATTGAAACCAACAAATAATAATAATTATTATTAGTGGCTTTATTCAATATGATATTTCCGGCAAAATATAGAACTCCTCAGCAGTGCGCATCCACGCTCCCGCACTCGCGAGATTCGAACCCAGGATCTACCAGTCTTACGCACGAGCGCTTAACCGATAGACCACTGATTCGGCCGGCATCCAACGGTGTTAATGTCTAACTTCAACCAATCCACGATATTGAGCGACCGTTCACCAATTTTCTTCAGTGAGTTGATATCTCTACAACAGACTTGGTTGAACTCCACTGGTCACTGCTTCCCACTAGAACTCAAGGAAATATCTCTTGAAGTCAGTCACTAGTGAGCATATGATTATAGATCAGAAGGGGTTTTGTGGAGAATTTAGTATTTCCATAGTTGAAATCATGAGTCAATTGAAGCCAAACAACCATGAGGAGTCCCATAATGGGACGAAACGGTCGTCCATTACTTTCAGGTTTTCCATGGTGGTCTAGCTTCAATTGAATAATGAATTCAACTATAAAAATATTGTAAAGTTGTTTCATTTTATGAAAGATTCTGGATATTGGAAATGATTTGAAATGTGTTGGTCAATATGATTTATATTGTAAATGCCTGATATTCTATCATATTTATGATTTTAGGTCTTTTAGAAGGATGCACTCATTCATCTGCCATAAAACCAAGTAAACATTCACTCTTTAATTACTTGTAATATATTTACTTACTTACTTATTTACTTACGGTTGTTACTCCCAATGGAGCATAGGCCGCTGACCAGCATTCTCAAACCCACTCTGTCCTGGGCCTTCTTTTCTAGTTGTATTCATTTTTTGTTCATTTTTCTCATGTTTGTCTCTATTTTTCGGCGTAATGTGTTCTTTGGTCTTCCTCTTCTCCTTTGACCTTCAGGATTCCATGTGAGGTCTTGTCTTGTGACGCGATTGGGTGATTTCCTTGAAATGTGCCCAATCCAATTCCAGAGTTTCTTCCTGATTTCTTCCTCCGCTGGAATCTGGTTTGTTCTCTCCCACAGTAGAATGTTGTTGATAGTATCTGGCCATCGGATATTGAATATCTTGCGTAGACAACTGTTAATAAATACCTGTATCTTCTGGATGGTTTTCGTAGTTCTCCAGGTTGCCGCCCCATACAGTAGAACTATCTTGAAATTTGTATTAAAAATTCTTATCTTGGTATTGGTTGACAATTGTTTTCAGTTGAAGATGGTTTTCAGTTGTAAATATGCTGCTCTTGCTTTGCCGATACGTGCCCTCACATCACGTTAACCAGAAAATTGTAATATATTGGCTGTATAATTACTTGGAAGTTCTAGTGATAAATAGTTGGAAAAAGAGTCACAGGTTTGCTTTCGGAGCGTTTATCCCTTGAAACTGTAAAAAACCACCCCTAACTTGATAAATTTATGGATATCAGTGAAACATAACACCTGCATATAATATGAATGTACTTACAACAACCTTATACTTCTCTAGATTTTTACATTTTGAAGTATATTTTAAAGCTTGATTTATCTTTGATGTTCTTAAGTCATTTCGTGTTCAAAACAAGCATTCTAGAAACCAGTTGACTATCACAGTAAACTTTTGATAATGACAGGTAATAATCTGAAGCAATTACGATAATATTCATTGCTAATTATGATGTACCATTTGAGGCAATTTATTAACTTTAAAGCAGTTCTGATTTGTACTAAATTCTCTAATATTTTTAAGTTAATAAGATTCATTTTTTAGTATCCCAGGGTTAATATTTCCACAGCCTACATATAGACACAGCTATTCTTCATCTTTTAGTTGTATGGTGACTTTGTCAGCCAGTCAGTCAGCTACAACGTAGGACCAGGCACATATATGCATCGGTCCAAGTTGCCATACCTCGTTAGCACAACAAGATGAACACCGGATTCATAAAAGTAATTAATTGAGTGGTAGTAGTATATAAAGAAAGGTTGTATATAAGGATATAGTATAAGAAGGAAAGACAGATATGAAGCAATTTTAATCTCAAGGTTTAAGGGAAGATAAAAAGTGTATACACCTACGCCATTGTGATCCATTCTGAGCCATGTCACCCAGAGTCTCCAACCATTGGTTACGATTGTCACGCGGACCCCAGTTTCGAAAAGTTGATCAAAGCAAGTTGTAACACTTTAACAATGAAGATTATAAGCTTGTTCAACATTCCAATTGTAGAAATATTAATGAACATTTTAAAGGTGATTTCTCAACAGTTATTAGAGTATATTAAAACTTTGTCTTGAACAAATATATTTATCGAATTCGATTTCATGTGTTTGTGTTTAAGCTTCTCCGGTCCTCACAAAAGTGAATAATAGTAAGTTCAACATTTAAAGAATAATACACTTGATGTAAAACTTGAAGTACTTCGATTCATTTGTTGTCAACCAATTCATTGTATTCTACCATAGCTTCCATCTAATTATAAATATGTCTTATCAAATTCTTATATCAATTGCCTGAGTGCCCTGTGAATATATGTGACGTGATGATCCCCACCAATCAGAGGGGAGTGAATTATCGATCAGAGCAATGATACACAAAAGATGTATGAATAGTCTTGAGTACATATCAATCCTGCTTTCTGCCTAGCCCTCTCAGTTAAGTCCACAACACCAATAACAGACTCTGCGACATGAATCATTATTCTCAAAAATTATGGGTTTATATACCAGTCAGACAGACTACATCGTACCATAAAATAGAAAATAATATTTGTACAAGATTTAGCCAAATGTGACTGTGAATATGGGGAACAGTAATTAGTGGACTAGGGATAACTTATGAATGGTAAATCGTATAATAATAGTCAATATGTCAAAATAAAGCTTATAATAAGGGGGGACACGAATATGAGTAGTTTAGTTACTTAGCAATTATACGATAAAAATATATACACAATATTGGTTCATAAATGGTCCTCAAAGTTACCATTCGTAATTCTCCACCGGATATAATACAAATTATTCAATACAGTAGCTAAATAAAGTATAGGGGATCAGATGATACTTTTTTTTGTCACTTTAAAAACACAGATCAATAATGGATTGTATAGAAAGGACTTTTTGATTCTTATACAGTTATCAAATACAAACAAGGAACATTTAATACTGGTCAATAATTAAAGCGTAATTTATTAATCTAAATATAGGCACAAAGTCAGAGTAAGTACAGTACAGAATTGACTTCTTTGATGTCCTTTTGTTATAGGTCCGATAATAATGAAACTGTTCCACATAGTACTACTTTACTTATTCTTTAACAATTCACTTTTAACTATTGAAATCAATTAGACTGAATTAACACCATCAAGTGATATCAAAAAACTATTCACAAAAAACCTTCAATATGATGGCTGAGGACACCGTAGGAGTTTATATTTGAAATTAGATTACATAATTGATCAATTAAATATCTATTAAATGTAAAAACTCCGTCTGTAGCTCCTCCGGGGGCTGCTGTCAGTCCCAAGCCTAGATAAAGGAGGAGAGTTGGGCATAAGATTAACGACCCCATCCCGTAGAAAACCAACTCGCTAAAAAAACGCTAACCAGAAAACATTACTCAAAGAATTTACATAAAGCACATAAATCTTGCATCATATAAGGTATGTGTACTTATATTCTAAAAGATTTTGTACAAAGCTAATTCATGCCGCTTCATAACAGCCAACAATGGAGGTATTTATACGATGGCAATGCAACTTTGTAGACTTCTTCACATCATTTTGATATATTGAGGTCGAATCCCTCTAGCGGAGTTTACAGAGCAACCCCTGTAAGTAACAGATTCATTGTACTGTCCATACAATTGAAAGCATCTATACGTCGTTCGTGTATATTGTAGTTGGTTGAAGTATGTCTGCCATATAATCAAGAATCTTTATAAAATGTCTTTACTTGAGTTCTCTATGCTTAATTCAAAACATTTACTACAGTTAAATAAAACAACTCCTTAGGTTGCATTCTTTTACTTTTGCGCTCCTAACATAATTCCATTACTTATGACAAATTCATCGATTTTAACTATTCTTCAACACGACGAAATATTCAGGACTTTAGTAGCAATCTTTCTGAACTATATTCATAACTAGGATATTACACTCTTCTAAAGCAACAATCATTTGTACTTTCATCATCTGTCAACCAGTACATGACTAACGACATGGTTTATTTCAGTATCAACGTCAAAAGATGGAAAATGACCAAAATCTAATAGGTTTCTTGGTTTAACGTTTATAGATTACCATCATGTATATAGACCTATCTCAGTGATACAATAATAAATCATTATCCTTTTAATCAAACTACCGATTTTCAAGTATGTTAAGATCTTTATCTCATTGAAATTATTGATTGTAAAATCAATAATTCGTCAGAAAAACCGTTGGTTCAATCAGTGACCCAGTGATTTAAATCAAAGTACTAGAAAGTTTTGGGATCATTTAGATATTTATGGTTTATTAATGACTAAGTAATGAATAGATTTACTGTATCACAAGGAGGTTTTGTGGAGATTTTAGTAATTTTATATAACTAAGATCATGAGTCAATTGAAACTAGACCACCATCGAAAACCTGGAAGCACTGGACGGCCTTCTCGTCCTATTATGAGACTACTCAGCAGTGCGCATCCATGATCCCGCCCCACGAAATTCAAACCCAGGACCTACTTGTCTCGCGCCAAGGCACTTAACCGATAGACCACTGAGCCGGCCGGCATCCAACGGTGTTAATGTCTAACTTCAACCAATCAATGATTAACTTTAATATGCTAATTATGTTTCAAATGTATGAATTCATAATAAGGAATACGAATCTTCAAAATGTTTACCAGTGAAATTTATGTGTTATTGTAAAATGAAACAGTTAGTGACCTAGTAGAAATAATGAACAAAGATGATGTCTTTGGATGTAACATCACTATTCACAAATGTTTCACTGATAGAGACCGTAAATTGAAGATCTCACAATATTAAATGTTTGATTGTATCTTCCAATCGATGTGTTAGGACTGCAAATGGTCAGTCTCATATTGGCATATGTACATTCTGAGCGTATTGCCTCGATATAGCCTTAATTCACAAGCATGGTAAGCAAAGATGAATAGTGGCTAGCAGTGGAATCCAGGACGCGCGTTTCATACCTGCATCTTAGAGTTGATGTTCACTCTGGGACTCGAACTCAGTACCGTTCGCTTCAAACGCCATCGCGTTATCCGCTCGGCCAACTAATACAGTTATTTACTGATAAAAGTATTGATCTTTTACATAATGTTATTATAATCATCAGATATTGTACTGTACATCAGTAAACTCTAAACACGTGAGATCATGAATACTACAGTTTGAACTAAAGTCATATTAACTAAATATAATTGTTTTTGTTATGAACCTATCCAGTAAACGTGAGTACTTTTATCTCTACAATATTTAAATTACTATTTTATATATCAGTCAGTCAGCTACAACGTAGGACCAAGCATATGTACAAATTATAATGATTGCTATGTAAGCTATTAATGGGTTAAAATTGATTTAATGTGTATGCACTCATAAAGAATACTGGAAGAGATATATTGCGGACACTTGGTTTCTTTCACATCGATTTATCCAATGATCAGTTAATAATAACCTAAGCATCATTGATGAACAAGGAGGATGTGATGCAGATGTAAAGGCGAGGAATGGCAAAGCAACAACAGCATTCCTACAGTCAAAGAATATATGCAACTCAAAGCAACTGTATTTCTACCAACATCAAGGTAAGAATCTTCAATACGAACGTTAAAACAGTCATACTGTACGGAGCTGAAACGTGTAGATTTACCAAAACCATCATCAAGAGAGTACACGTATTTATAAACAATGATCTGTGTAGAATACCGAATGTCCGTTGACAGGATACCAACAGCAACAGCCTACTCTGAGATAAGAAAAACCAACTTTTAACTGAAGAGGAGATGATTAGAAGACGTTTGAAGTGGATAAGAGAAAATCATCAAGCTGCATCACGAGGCAAATGCTAAATTGGAATGGTAAAAGGAAACGGAAAAGAGGAAGGTGAAAGAATACATTGTGCCGGGAAATTGAAGCAGATATGAAAAGGATGAATGTTAATTGGAAAGAACTTGAAAGGATTACCCAGGACAAGGTTGGATGGAGAATGCTGGTGGGCGGACTATGCACCTCTACAACGGGTAACAGGAGTAAGTAAGTAATCCCAACAACATATGATGTCGAAAATGGGATTTGTGTAAAGATCTAATTACTTAACACAGAAGTTTAATAAATGTATAAGGCATTTGATGATGGTTTCATCAAGAAATTATGGTTAAATTATAGGTGTTTATTATATGTGTATATAATAGCTACATTTTTTACAACATTCAAACCTAAACAAATAATGCTTACTGGCGGTTATTCACTCGTATTTTGCTCAATAATGGAATTTCAGCTGAAGTTACACCTACTGTGAGTTCAAGGTGAGTCAACTCCATGTAACTCCATTTAACTTCTTGTGTTACATAATTATAATTGCTCTATCCCATATCATTCTATGAGACAATATTAGTTGTATACTAAATCGTATTGTTTGGATTATTATCACATCAAAGCTATATCGGTCATTAATAACTGTATTCTTTTTACTTATTATTTGATTAGACATTGTAAGTGCTTGCATTTGTATTCAATTAAATCTATCCTTGTAAATATATCTTTAGTATAATTATTATTATGAAACAATCATTTCATTGGATTACAGAACAGTTCGTATAGTTAACAAATGTGAAGTTATATAATATAGTATACCCTTGTGGGTCAGGGTAATTTTGCATTGGTTTTCAGGAGAACAAGACACTACCCAGACTTTCACGTGGCAACCCAAACAGTACAGCTCAATCCCGTTAAACAGGAGAGCCAGACACCATATAGACTTTGACACTACAATCTAAATAGTACAGCTTAATCTTGTGCCGCAGCCGCACAGGTACCAAGCACTCTGGTGAACCATTCACACCATTTATATACACATTCATATCAAATGTATAATTATTCTGATCAATGATCGCGTAAATCAATTATGCACAGCATGAACAGGCCAAATTTAACCCATTCCACTTACACTACAGTCAAACTCATTACCGTTAGCAATTGCGACATACCTTACAATGACCATGATCCTCAAGAACACTGAAAAGCAACCACCATCAGTTAACCAGTAGACCAGTTTTGAGCATGAACAGTCAGCAAAACTTGCCAAAGTAATGCCGAACCGTCCATAATGTCAATGGCGAACCTCCCGTTTGATGATGATCTCTACTATTCAGCAAATGAATTAGATATTTTCTGCAGAAGAAAAATGACTTTTGATCTGTCAAATTGATTTCATATTCAATAAATTATGAATTTTGGTTGTTTTTGAAGAGGTTTAACATACAAATATGTATGCGGTTAGATAAACTTTTACATTGTACACATTACAATTAAAATTCTGTTAAGACATAAAATGAACCATGATAATTGACTTGACTAACATCTGAATTAAACTATAACCCAATGATGTTAATTAACGTTAGTTAAACTGAATAAAATAAATGGTTAAATACACTTTGTATTGTTTGGTTGATTCTTCTCATTCGATGTTTAGGACTGTAATTGATCAGTCTCTTATTGACATATGTGCATACTATGCGTAATGCCTCGATTTGCCCTTAATTCACAATTATCATATGCAATGATGGATAGTGGCTAGCAGTGGAATCCAGGACACGCGTTTCGTCATATTTGAGACTCGTCAGCTGGATGTACCTGCATCTCAGATTTGGCGTTCACTCTGGGATAACGTGATGATGTTTGAAACGAACGGCACTGAGTTCGAGTCCCACAGTGAACATCAACCCTGAGATGCAGGTACATCCAGCTGACGAGTACCGAATAGGACTTGACGCGCTTCCTGGATTCCACTGCTATCTAATATCCATCTTTCTTTAAAATAAATCGTTGTTACTTAAAATAAATTGTTTTCAATACAGGGAGTTCCAAATTTCGTATCTGGCTCATTTATTTCCTTGGTAAGTTCAGTTTTTGTAGACAAGTTTTAAAATATTTTGTAACTATTATTTCTACGAAAATTTAATTCAAAAATATATCAGGACTCAGATGGTTATGTGAGTAGATTGAATGATATTAGTCAACCAACCAGTACAAGAAAGCTATTTCATCTTAGTATGGAGTTATTTAACACTAAGTGTTCAGTACTCTTTTGTATTATTTTGTTTAGAATAAGATGGTTAAAAAGAATTACTAAATATATAAGGCATTCTTTCATTTTGAATGTTAAATCAGCTGCAGAAACTGTTATAACGGTCCATTTTCCTTGTTTACATCAATGAGACGTTAACTTACCTTAGACGAATATCTATACTCGATAACCTCCCAATGTTTATTATACAGGACTTCAACACAACTTTGATCAAGAAAATGTGATTGGACTGACTAGAACGTCAATATATTTCCACACCAAAACCCGACACAATACAACAACAATCAACAATCATGCAATAATAGTAATAAATGATAAGGATAGGGGAATATATAACTCATCTAACACCTGTCAGAATATCCACATGTCTGACGAAGCAGACAATCAGTCATTATCATTCCCAGCCATACATCAGAAACTTATGTTATTACAGTATTCACAATAATTGATAACTAAGAAAATTTCTGAGAACAAACTTAAATCTTAACTTATTACATTTCAAAACAATCAATATTACAATATTAACACCACTGGATGCCGACTCAGCGGTCCAAAAGTTAAACGTTCGTGTGAGATCAAAGGTTCTGCGTTCGAGTTCCTTGTGTGGTATCGTGGATGATCACTTCTGATGAGTCTTATACTAGGACGAAACTGCCATACAGTGATTCAGTGTTTTCAGTTGTGGTCTAACATTGATCGGTTGGTGATCTCAATCAAAACTCAAAAAGCTCCACAACTCCAAACTCATGGTTAAAGTTAACAGTTTATTGTTGAAAGTTTATTATCTGATAAAACAGTAGTTTGATGAAATTATAACTCGGATTTGTAGGTTGTTGACTTATTCAAGATTACTATCATTTAATTACTTGAATCTTAAAATGTAGTTTGCTGAAATATTGTTGGTGAATTTTACTCATGAAAGATAAATTTTATGTTTTATCATTATTGCAAGAGCAGATCTCTAACTGAGTGCCATAGGAGTTTCACTGTTGCATTCCTTCCTTCAATCTAAATAATAAAATAATGTGACACGCATTTTGTTCTGCTGTATTGTCATCTAGAGCTGCTGAGAACTCTCTTCGGTCTTAAAAGTAAGAAAGATTAGTATTAATCATTGGTTGTTCTTTGAACCAAACGATTGTGTTTTTATCTACTTATCGTCTCAGTTAATCTAAAATAAAATCTTTGAATACGTTTTATGCTCATAAGAATTCACTGTAGTAAATTAAGGATGTTCTTTGACATTCAACTGAGATTGACTTTCTATGAGGTTTGCATTGTTTTTTTACATATTACCGAAATCTTGGTCAGAGGACACTTTACTTCAATGGAAAGATTAATCCAAGATGTTTGATTATGATCCTTTATAGAACCATTATTAATTAAATCGTGATTAATAAAATTAACCCGTGCACACATAACATATTTGTATTCTAGAATACATTCAGTCACAAGAGAAAGTACTTGTGATTTTTGAGCTCACACGAAACAAGATATTTTGGTCGTTATAACGACCATTATGTTCATTGAATGACCTAATTCGTGAACTTCATGGTACTTCGTTGAGATATATGATATCGAATTTAAATTTCTGATTGTAAATTATGACAAACTTTGTACAACGCAATCGGTGTTCGGAAGCAGTTTCATCTTTAATCGGATACAACACCACTGTCTCAGCAAGGAAATTACTTAATATGATTAGACTCGTAGGTTATCAACATTTTAAAACAGAAACGAAATGGTGATTCATAATCGGTCAATAATCTATCATGAATCATGTAATTTTAAACCGATCACAATCTGATCAGTATTTAGTGATTATCAACTCTCAGACTATGGTGAAGAAGAGTTATTTCTTCAGAAACACAAACTGTGCGAATAATGTGCCACAAATCTTAACATCATGTCTAGGATCTTATCAGATTTTCTTTTACGAAAAGCAAGAATAACAAATTATATCCATTAATTCGTTCACATAAGCCTTAGTAAGATGTTTGATATCGTTAGTATCTTGATGATTCTAAAGAACGGTTGAAAGTTTCAACAAACTGAGTTCCTCACAGACAGTTTCAGATTGGTTGGGTTTTGATTATGAATTAACTAAATTATGACTATGTGAATCTTTTTCCCTAATCCTGAGTATTCAGTATACAACACTGAATAGCCTTAGTGAAATATTGTGAGTGTCAACATAGGTGATAAGAGTTTCGATATTGGTGGTTATCTGATTAAATATTAATGTATTTGAATTTCAACATTTTAGACGACTTAATGGAAAAGTAAGTACAAATCCGTGTTAAGATGTTATGACCCGTTGAAAATGTATTGTGTTTAAAATAAAGCACTAGGAAAAGATGATTTGATTGATACAATTTATGATGATGCAATGAGAAAATGAAGACTATCAGAATTATGTAATATATTTGTGGAATACATTTCGAACAATCTGATCATACATATACTTGTTAGGAACATGCCCCCAAATGTCCTGATACGGCCAAGAGTGGGGAGAGTCTGCTCTCCCTCTCGGAATGCTCTCATATGGCCACGCGAATATATAGCCTCTGCCAGGGAAGTCCTACTCACTGCCTTCTCACACCAGGGGTGTTGTTCACAAAAGTGAGAGGACGAAAAGCGAATGTCCGGCGCTTTAACCGGGTTGGTGGATGTGGAGGATCCACCTAGGGGAATTTTAAAACCCTGATTCCAAACCAATGATGCACATGGGCTCCAGTATCCTGAAGGAACAATTGGTGTATGAATCATTCGTTCGCCATCGGCTACCATGGGACTGCATCTCCTTACGATGCTCCACTGCCTTGTGGATCAGATCTTTAGGTCAAAGACTCCGGGTGTGGCCCCCTAAGAAAACCATCTGCTTCAGTTTGGGCACCTGGACAGTATCACAGCCCTCACACAAATCAAATGAGATTTGTAAGGCGCATGTGTATCTGGTGCTTCCTTGTACCAATATTTATGTGTTTAAATAATAAATAATAAAATAATGTTAGGAACATTTATGTATAAAGATAAAAGGTCAACTAAATGGTCAGTGGTTAACCGTAACGAGGTGGATCGATGCCGACTCGGTGGTCTGGAGTTTAAGCGTGGCGGTCCAGTGAATCCAGGTTTTCCATGGTGGTCTATTTTCAATTAAATCATGAATTCAACTTCAAAATTACTAAAATCTCTATAGAAAATCGCTTCTGATAAAAACAAAGTACACAAAAACAATGTGATAACCACATTGAATAATAAGTCAGCAGTATAATCAGAGTTGGTTAGGATGAGAACAAATTGTTTTTGAATGCACAAATTATTTATGAAAAAATCTCGGAACATCAGCTTTATGAATTAAACCAATAAATAATTTTTGATAGTTTAGATCAGGAATCAATTGAAGCTAGGTCACCATGGAAAACCTGGAAGTACTGGACAGTCGTCTTGTCCTATTGTGGGACTCCTCTTTAGACTTCACAAAATAGTACCCAATAATCTAAAAAGTGGTCAGGTTTAAAGCAAATACATCACTGAAAATAGTAGTATTTGATGTTACGATTAATTCATTTTTGTATTGGTTATTTAAATATTCATACTGATGTTTATGACTGCAGTTACATAATTTCATATTGTCATATGTGCAACTTATGTGGATTGCTTTGATATTGCTTTAAGTCACAAGTATTATAAACAGAGATGAATGATGACTAGCAATGGAATTCAAGACGCGTATTTCATCCCATTTAGGACTCATCCATCAGTTGGACTTAGGACTATTCATAAAATGACATAAGGTTGTCAGTGTGAAGATTCTAATCTGAATGAGTCCATATGTTAAATGAAATTGTGAGATCGAAAGTCAAAATGAAGATGCGTAACATATGATGAGAGAGATAATAATATAATTGCAAATGGAAATGAATAGTTGTTCAACCGTTTAAAGGATTGTAAGTTTGATGGATCTAAGTAGATAACTGTCAACACGATATATTACTATAGATGATTGCTATATATAAGCTGTATCGTCTGTTTGTACTAAATGAGGTAGAATTGAAGTGTTAACAGTTTTAACAATGCTTTTGTTTAACCATAATTGAAGATGCTCTTAAAGACAAAAATACACATTGCTACAACTTCTGCCAATAAAACTTATGTGATAACATCAGTTGAATTGATAAATTTAGGAAGAAGAGATTACTCGAGACAATTTATCTTTCAACATTATAGTGACAATTGGACATATAGAAAACAGTATTTGTAATTTCTTTGTATTGATGGTTTATTAAATTGCTCTGTACAACTTTAGCGTCACCATTTCACTGAATTCATCACTTTTACATTATGGGCGTTACCCACGTTACCCATCTTTATTCCAATCAATTATCTTACAATTCACATAGTACACATTTAAATGTCGTATTTAACTGAAACCTGGTCACTTCTAGGATTATTTTTTTGAACACATAATTGTAAAATCTGATAAGAAATACTAGAAACGAATATTGTTGATTTGTATATCTGTGTTGTGAATCAGATATATGTAAAATATAACAACCTACTACAAATGATAAAGAAACCAATGCTTCTGTAACAAATAACATAGAAAACCTGGAAACACAGGATGGCCGTTTCGTCCTATTGTGGGACTCCTCAGTACAGCGCACATAGGCTCCCGCTTTGTGAGATTCGAACCCAAGACATATCAGTATCGCGCGCGAGCGCTTAACCACCAGACCACTGAATCGGCATCCAACGGTGTTAATGTTTAACATCAACTAATTCATGAAATTGAGTCACACATCCACCATTGTCTTCAATGAGTTACTATTTCACAACAGATCTGGTTGAACTCCACTGGTCAATTATTTTCACTAGAACTCAAGGAAATACCTCTTGAAATCAGTCACTAGTAAGCATATGTTGAATAATATCAGGAGGGGTTAATATAATGTCAACAGAAACCCCTTCTGATAATAAATTATCATTTTACTTATAAGATTATATGAACAACAGACTATTATTACTGATTGTTGATTAAAGTCGATATTCATTCTCAAACAGGTATCATCATTTTCCATCATGTTTCAACCTTGATTATAATCAAATTTGGTTACCTTTTTGTTTTAAAATCAAAGGTTCTGTAAGTTTCTTTTATTCTATTGATTAAATTGATAAAATATAGGCGGGACATTTGATGTGGTACAGTAAAAAAACAAAACAAAAAAGAGAACAATAAACTGATAGTACATACATGTATGAAGATGTTTACATCACAGTGATGTTGCCTTGTCAACACTTCATATTTTGATTATCTTGTTTACCATAATTGTCTATGTAGGTGTATCTCGTATATAAGTGAATAATACAAAATATCTATTTATGTGATGATTGTCATCTTATCTATTGAAATAGCCAGTAATATGTAGTAATGTATAAGACAATTAGAGTTGGATTACTTCTATTTAATAGTATAGTTAATATCAATCACTGACACAATTCAGCATATCAGAATATATATAGCAAAATTACAACCTAAAAATGAATGAAAGATCGTAGTGTAGTTGTGGGGTCTACAATCTGACTCCAATAAGATCGTATGAACGATTGTTGTCAAATTAAACATCCTGTCTATCGTTGTATGTAATACGTCACTTAATCCGCATTCGTGAATAAAGGAATTAAATAAGTCAAATACGAGAATCGATTTCGAACACATATATTTTGTACATTCATTGATCTGGACAAGAAATCAGAAGGATGAAGTGAATGGAAGAGAGAGAGAAGCGAAAACGAACCGCATTAGCGATGGCGAGTAAACCGACTCGCATTAATCAAGCGTTAATCGATATTTATATTCAGACAAGAATAAGTTACAGATATGTGATGAATAGGATAAGAAGTGTACATACACATATGCTCATATGAAAACGGTCAGGGTTGATAAGTGAATCATTACCAAGGTATTTTCTTTATTTATTGTGTAAGTTATAATCCGAAAACATTCGAATATATAAGTTTTCTATTATGTACCAAAGTTTGATATACTCCTCCTGATACTTCCAATTTTCTTTAACATTATAGTGGGTCTATTTGACAAAACGTAAGTAGAATGGGCTAGAGAAAGTTTGAATGTCTTCAATGTAAATTTACAATTGTACAAACAGTACTGTTTTATTGTGGTGCATGCTACTTGTGCTGATAGATATGAGTAGTATATAGCAGCAATCAAAAGTGAAATGCCTACCAGCAGAAACTTGAATTAAATTGAATAGGAAAGAAAACAGACAGCGTTTGTAATAACAACAGAATTAGAGGAATAAAAAAGTATGTGAAGTACAACTGAAGGGTGATGTGCAAATAATGTATTTAATGTATGGTATTTGAGGCATCCAGGAATTTCCTTAATTAAATCTTCATTCTTTTAATTGTATGAGTTTTGAAAGAATGTTTTATCCATGTTTTATGGAAAGTGGAGATTCAAGCTATATGTTGAATGTTTTCAATCATTGTTACAGTGAATTGTTGTAAATGTATTAAAGGATATCGGTTAATATTTGTAAGATATAGAGATTGGTCTTCGTTAATATTGACCAACTAAATACAAGAGCTAAGAAAAGTATGAACAGCTTTGTACAAAGAGAGATATCTAGCTAAATGCTTATGTATAAAGATATATATATACGTCATAGACGAATGATTATTTCTATGCCGTTGTTTAGCTAATCTCGTCTTCAACGACGAGGGTTTTAACTAATCAAGCTTCAACCATTTAGCTTAATATATGCAAAACATGTAATCATCATTTTTATTAACTGTGAACTACTGCATCATTGTCAGACATCTTTCTAATATATACACAATCATGTTTAACCAATGCAATAAACCTAAACATGCTTAAATGCATTTAACCTGACGGTAACTAAAAATCATGACTTCAGCAGTTGATATTCATAGCGTTTGACATTAGCCTGATGTCAAAATTGAAGTTATAAAACAAGTACAATAAAAGTCTATTCAGATAGACCTAACACTTAATGTTGAGATTTTTAAACATCAAGCTGAATATATATGGATATTGATTTTGAGGCAATTTACCAAGTCCTCTAATTTTTGTACAACATATAGAAAATATTGTCTATAATATTTTAACTTCCTTATGACTGTTACCCATCGTAGAGGAGTATAGGCCATCCACATGCACTCTCCATCCAACTCTGTCCTGGGAAATCCTATCCACTTTTTTTTAATTGCTATTCATCCTCTCAATGTCTGCTCCCGATACTCGACGTAGTATATTCTTTGGTCTTCCACATTTCCGTTTACCTTCACGATTGCAAGTTAACGCTTGTCTCGTGATTCAGTCTGATGATTTCCTCAATGTATGTCTTATCCACCTCCAACGTCTTTTACTCATCTCCTCTTCAGTTAAAAATTGGATTTTTCTCACTCAGAATAGGGTGTGGCCGATGGTATCCGGTCAACGGACATTCAGTATATTACGCATACCGTTGTTTATAAATGCTTGTACCCTCTTGATGGTGGTTTTAGTAGTTCTCCATGTTTTAGCACCGTACAGTGGAACTGTTTTGACGTTCGTATTGAAGATTCTCACTTTGAAATTGATAGACAGACAGCTGTTTTGAGTTGCATATATTCTTCAACTGGAGGAATGCTGTTGTTGGTTTGCCAATCCTTGCCTTTACGTCTGCATTAGTATAACTTTATAAACTGTTCGTAAATTGCATACATCTCTTCTACATTTGCCCACCAAATGAGATAAATTCAAACTCAATGAAATGGTTTACTACTTTACCAAAGTGATAATATTTGTGAACTTGAAGAAAAGTAATGGGACTCGTAGTCTTGTTCTTTAAACAAAAATCTGTTTACTGTTCAGATATATTTTGGTTTATAACATTGTGGTTACTGTATCCTACTTTATAGACATCATACAACAAAAACTGATTCAACAAGCATTTATTTAACTTCACAGTTAGTCTCTTGAACCAACTTTTTAATTATTCTACAGACACTCCGTTTCGTAAGTACTGATGATATTTATTTCATATATGCTAAATGTCACTGTCAAAGACCAAGCACCAACAACTACATGATACATTAATCAGTTTACCGAACGTCGATTATGATCATTATTATTGATATAACTGTATAACTAATCATTAAAATAATTTTGTTTTCCGTTTCAGCCTGAGTAAGTTAACAAGACAAGGATTATATAAACATGTTGAAATATAATATAATCTGCATTTCAAGCTATTATATTATATGTAGAGCAAAATGCATTGATTTGGATAATTTAAGGATTGTACAGTCTTCTTGAATGTAGCACCATCGCAGAGCGGATGTTCACTCATGGAACCGCATCCAGTACCATCCTCTTCAAAAGCCATCGCCTTATCCGCCTAGTCTAGGGATGCAGGTACATCTAGCTGACGAGTAGCAAGTTGAACAAAATAAGCGTCCTAGATTCAATTGCTAGTTATCATTCATCTCGGCTTATAATACCTGTGATTTAAGGTAGTATAGCGGCGATCCATAAAGGATCCACATATGCCTATAATAGACTGACCAACTCCAGTCATAAACATCAATGGGAAAATTCAAACAACCAATACAAAAACAAATTTCTTCAAAAGTACTTCAAGAGCTTTTGAACAATTATCAGTCAAATTAAATATTAAAAAACTTGAAGAGAAACTTAATCAATTTGGAAGAAACTGATTTGTCTAGTACTATTTAAGAATTTTTCAATTCAATTTCCATATTCATGTGTTCATTGTGAAATACAAAATATGTGTAGATACTAGAACGAAACAACCATCCAGTGCATTTAAGTTTTCAATGGTGTTCTCGCATAGTTCGTCTCATGAATTCATCTGTTGAAATTACTACAATTTGCACAAATCCACGTTCTGATAATCAATTTAGTGTTTAACAATGCATAAAACAATAGAAATCTATTGACAAGTAGATCTTATAAAATATCTAAGGATAAAATCTTCATCAAGACAAAATGAATTATCATCATTCATTGATGAATAGGTAAGTTCATCTTCAGATTGAATACAAGCTAGAAGGTTTCCCAAAATGTCTTATTCTAACTGAAGACGGATAACGCTAATGAAGATGGTAAAGTTTACTTATAAATAGAATATCTTGCTTGTTTAAATGTATAAACGAACCATAGAAATAGTTTCGTAGAGAATCTCAAATGTCTCATTATTAAAAATCTATATTTATGTAATAGATATCCATATGTATCTACCGACACCTAGTTGATATTGGATAATAACGAGGTTATTTGATCACAATGTATAAGGTGATCATTGTTTGATATAGAAAACAAAATGTCACGTAAATTGACTGTTAGATTATAAAGTGGAAGTGTTTAACTGGTAAATTTGAGAGACTAAAATCAATCAATTTTGCAAATGAACCAGGAAAACATCTACCTTCTTTTCGAAAGACAATAAGTTATAATGTGTAGATTACATCCTGCGAAATTGCTTACTTCTTTATCCTGTTTATTATAGCTTTCCATGTAAGTTATTCATAAGTTGATGCTTATCATAAAAACTAGTCTTATATATACATATGTATATGATGAATAATTAACTTTGTCTATATACATAGGGAGAAGTAATTGAGCAATGCAATTAAGGGTCATTGAACATGCGCCTAGATGTCTTCAAAGTCATTTAGTGTCAAATGATTCGATCACCGTGGGAGATGGAAAACCATGTTCATCAATGGCGAAGCATATAATTGAAACGGAGCACAAAATTGATATCAGTACAGCGTTTAAAATGTTGTATAGAACAAATTGTCGAGGACCAATTTTCAGGTTTTTTGAAGCCTTGGCTATTAGTAAATATAAAACCCCCCTCTTATGTGTACAAAAACAATTTGTCTTAAAGTTGAAATCATGAGTCGATTGAAGCTAGACCACCATGGAAAACCTGGAAGCACTGCTCACTAGTGACTGACTTTAAGATACATGTCCTGGAGTTCTAGTGGGAAGCAGTGACCAGTGGAGTTCACCCACGTCTGTTGGGAGATATCAATTCACTGATGACATTGGTGAATGGTTGCTCAATTTCGTGGATCGGTCTAAGTTAGACATTAACACTGTTGAATGCCGGCCGGCTCAGTGGTCTATCGGTTAAGGGGCTCTGGCTCGAGACTGGTAGGTCCTGGGTTCGAATGTCGCTCGCGAGAGCGGGTTCGTGGATGCGCACTGCCGAGGAGTCCCATAGTAGGACGAAACGGCCATCCAGTGCTTCCAGGTTTTCCATGATAGTCTAGCTTCAATCGACTCATGATTTCAACTTTGAAAAATACTGAAATCTCCACAAAACCCCTTCTAATTTGTCTTAACCTTGAACTTATCCTGGTATTCCCACCAGGTTGTTCGAAATGTATAGCCCAAATACATCACATTTTTCAGATCAACTGCGTCTCATTGTTCAATCGAAACTTTATGATAGTTTCATATTAATAGGACATTGAATGCTCAAGTCATAATTAGAAAAGATAATTGTTACGTCTGCCGTTTGTGAACGTTATGTTTGCTCCCCTAAGCTAGTTTCGGATCCTCGAGCTAGAACTATACAGCAACTTGAAGACCAGAGAGAAGACACGAGCATCAGAGAAGCACTTTACTACAAGGTTCCTTTATGTACAGAAAAACAGGGGTTTTATAGTAATTAAAAGACCTTGAGATTCCATAGTAGCAGTATGTTAAACAGCCAATCAGGACCTCGTTATTTTAGTAGCATAGCTTCTAACTAATCGCTGATTGGTTGGGTTCTTTATGAGCCTCTGGAGGCTCTGATAGAATTTACTGTAAGCCGACTTAACAATAATTTAAAACTTCTTATAGTTAAACTGATTGTATCTAATAATTTTAATAGTTGAGATCATGAGTCAACTGAAGTTAGACCACCATGGAAAACCTGGAAGCACTCGACAGCCGTTTCTTCCTAGTTTGGAACTCTTCAGGTCCTGGGTTCGAATCCCTCATGAGGGATCGTAAATATGCACTTCTGAAGAGCCCCATACTAGGAAAAAACAGCCATCCAGTGCTTCCACGTTTCCAATGGTAGTCTAGCTTAGATTGACTTGTGAACTCCACAAAGCCCCCTTCTGATAATAATTAAAATTATCTACCTTTTGTGTTCAACTTGGTAGAAAGTTTGTTAAACATATTGAACATTTTTATTTATAGTTGACCTAAGCATCTGAAGAGGTAAGTTAAATCCACATTATTATTATATTGCTATTTGGCTGAATTTCCATGGATTTCGATGGTTTTGTAACTTGTAGAGTTTTTCATATTGAAGACTGAATTTGAAAAAAAATTAAAGAAATATGTAGTTAATTATTTACTTCAGCACAAATTGTCTTTTCGCCAAGATATAATCACATCGAGTTTTGATTGGAAGGAAACATTTCTAGGATTAAATTCACTTAGTATTGTTTGTTTGAATCTTCCCATCGATGTGTTAGGACTGCATCTGGTCAATCTCTAATTTAAACTTCACCCCATCGCACAAGCAAGTGGCTATCAGGACTCAGTGGCCAAGTGGATAACACGATGGCGTTTGAAGCGAGGGTACTGGGTTCGAGTCCAAGAGTGAACATCAACTCTGAGATGCAGGTACATTCAGCTAACGAGTCCCAAATAGAACGAAACGCGCGTCCTGGATTCCACTGCTAGCCACTATCCATCTTTGATTATCAATTTCTAGGATTGTTTAAACAGAATATTAAATATAAGTGTTACTTACTGGAATATAGAAATGAAGGGGATGTTGTATGATACTGAGTAGTAGTATGATAATAATGTTGGCGAAATTACTTGTATAAGGGTTTGAAGTGTTTACTAAGCTCTAATAATAGAAATATGTAGATGATCTATCAACAAGAATCTTCTCTTTCAGACAACCTTACGTAACTTGATGTTATCAATTTATGCATTGTTGTATAGAGGTTATAAACCATGAAATTCAGAACATGCAGCGTAGTGAATAATTCAATGGTTTAATGTTAGATTGTATGTTTACAAACAAATGTATTCAGAAAGTACAATATATATCTGCTAACAATGACTTTAGTGACACTGTTCGGTATGCGACTATTATGAGAGCTTCCGCTTTCTAATATCAAACTCAATTTTTACGAAGAATGATTATGGGAGTACACAAAAAGGATCTGTGGTGCTTCTTCAGTCAGAATACATCATCCTAATGAAAGATTTTTTTAAAAATCTCGTTTAGCACATATTGTGATCCCTGATAGTTTATCATAAATATACAAAGTACATCTGAAATGATGTTTTGAAGTTATTAACGTTATGATGCATAGAAAAAACGCTATTCACTCAGACACCAACATAATTTCCTGTGTTGTCGTATCCAAACTATAAACTGATACCTATACAGGAATACTCTCTAATGAGAAAATCACACCCATTTGTGTAATCACTGATGAATGTGACCCATAAATTTTATAGCTTATCGCGCGCTGCTCATTTTCATTTCAGGAAGACGAACGACATGCAATATAAAAGTTTTCAAGAATGATTTGGATATAATTGAAATCATTGGAATTACGGTCATTAAACTACACGTTTTTATATCCTATATTTTGTTAAACTTCCTACATGTTTCATGATGCAACGACGTTAATATAAACCAATGTCTGTGATAAAGATTTTGTTATTAAAAACTATAATAAGATAGAGACCTTTTATAGTTAACTAAATAGAGGATTTCAAATTCACTACTAGATCAACGCAGAATATGGTATACTACTACGACGCTCGTACGTATAGAACCCCATAGTCGCAAATCAGAAAACAGAAGAAGACTTGAGAATTGTCTGTTGGATAATAACCAAAATGTACAGAAAATCATGGCTATTTATTAATATTAGCGTTTGTTATACCAACATTATAATCCAAGCAATTAGCAAAGGGACATGTTATGCTACTGTCTAATACTAGCATGCCGCGTTGATATTCAAGAAAGCCCCATCACGTTATGACTGGATGGAAATTCCTCATCTCCTTTAGAGCCTCTAAGGGTTCCATCGTAGTTCTCAGAAGCCGACCCAACAGAGGACATATCGAAATCGTAATTTTTTGTTCAATCTCATCTGGTATGCAATCATTAAATCCAAATCACAAAATTTTATTTACTTTCTTTTACCACCTTCTGGTGCAGATTTAGCGATGATCAATGTAATAAGTTGTTTGGACTGCTCATCATCAATATGCTAACTAACTTTCATGCTACCTGGATAATTTAATGATCACAGTATTACCATTAATCTCCTAATGTGAAATATTTGTGTTCAGTTATGAGAATATTAAAAACCAAAAATCATTTATCAGTATGAAGTTGTTAAGATTGAGATTGAGATCATCAATCGATTAAGATTAGATCACCATTTAATAAACCTCAAAATGTTATAAAACATGAAATATATTTCATTTGAAGCGAAAGGTGCTTTGTTCGAGTCCCAGAGTGAACATCAACTCAGATGCAGGTACGTCCAGCTGACGAGTCTCAAATAGGACGAAACGCGAGTCCTGGATTCCACTGCTAGCCATTATCCATCTTTGCTTACAATGAAATATATTTCATCAGTTTCAAAATTATAAAACACTATGAATAGTCTACAAATTTGTGTTGTGTCACCAACCTGAAATAACAAACCTTAAATGTCATCCAATCTTTCGTTCAACATAAGTATACTTCTTAACAGAGGTGAAAAATAAGGTTAGAAACTGAATGCTGATTTTTTGATTATTTAGGATCCCATGAGTAACTAATGATTAACTTATATTAGTTCTGAGGGATAATTGGATATGAAGTAATCTTCGATTTTATGGAAGATAATAACAACACAGCGAGACCAGTTGCTGGTCATGACACACTTCTACACCAGAAAGTCGAATAATTTGTGGTAGAGCTACAATTAGATTTATAATTATTTCCGAGATGTAAAACACATCTAGCGTATTTCTTGTTACTAACTATCCACATTAACGGAAGAAAAGATTGTAAACAGTTGCCAGATTATATAGAAAATCAGTATATCCCTGTTTAAATTATGATTTCACCTAGTTAAAGGTTTGAAAATGGAATTCGTACGAAATTCATAAATTACCTTGAATACTATTCGAACAAATCCAAATAAATAAAAATGGGATATAGCGGGTGATATTTTAACACGTCGACTGAAAAGACCTGTTGAAAGGATGTTTCAATTCGCCAAGCTATATATAATTTTAGCTACTGAACAAGTACTCACACAACTAATCAAGGATGGGTTACCGAAGATGGTCTCTTCTATGTGTGTGTACCAATTCAACTGCTCCTATGAAGCTAGCTATATATGCCGTACTCAGAGGGATTCATCCTTGCGTGTTCGTGAACCTGTAACAGCATGGTTGAGAAAAAGAGTTATTAAATCGATCAATCGCACTACTCCTTCTCACTTGGTAGATAGTGAACATATTAAATAGAAGAATATTTCCCTGTTTATCATCAAGTTCCAGAAAATCCACCTCAGGGAGCTAGATTACGGTTACTCTATATAGATGAAGTCATCTAGATCAACTCCAGCAAACCAGACTTATGTATCCAGAGAAGGTATATCCAGTCTCTATGTTTAATTTGGCCTACGATCTGAACACCGGATACCTAAACTGAATATTATAGACCTCTTACCCGCTACCTAATATTTTTCAATACATTTATCTTAATCTTCACATCCATCATTCCTAATTCACATGAATTCTTTCTTGTCATAATTACCTAGAAAACACTCATTTTATTACGTATTGTATTCACACAACAATATTATTATTACTATCAGAAGGGGTTTTGTGGATATTATAGTAGTTTTTAATAGTCGAGATCGGTTGTATGCAAGTACACCAAATCTAAAAAATAAATAAGTTAAATACGAGAATGGATTTTTGAATAGATTTATTTTGTACACTCACTGATCTAGACAGAAAATGAGATGAACAGTAGAGAGCGGAGAGAAATGGCGTGCAGTGGAGATGGCGTGGGTGCCAACTCCATTTAATCAAGAGTTGATCAATATTTATAGTCAGATAAAAATGAATTACAGACATATAATGAATAGGATAAGAAGTGTGCACACATACGCTCATATCAAAACAGTCAAGATTGATAAGTGAATAATTAACTACGTCAAAACATGATTCAAGAAGAGTGGATAAATTGACCTAATCAGAAGCTAGAATAAGGTACATGGGCTTGACATAGCAACCGGCACTACAATATTACTGTAATCAATCACTCAGATACTTTCACATACAGTGAAATAATTATGTATATTAATCAATAAATTATGATTCCTTACTTAGAATAAACAATAAAGCTGTCAAATACAAAATATTCATTACGATTGTTCAATTTGAGTAGAGACTACAATCACCTTGTTTTCTATTTATATACCCCTTTTGTTATTCCAAATCTAATTTTGGTATCATCTTAATTGGTCCAGTAAAGAAAGTCAACCTTTTTTCATCAATATCCAAGTTCAAATACAATACTACTCAAAAATAAATAAACACAATTTATTTACAACCGCTTTATGCTTAACAAGATTTTATATCTATTGTGAATGGATTTCCATGACGCTCATCCCTGATATAAACATTAAATTGTTTATCCGAAAATAAAGTTACAAGATTATTATCTCAATGAAAATGGTGCATGTGTGCAGTGTGTGTGTGTGTGTGGGTGTGTGTTAATATTGATTATTATCATTAGCATTATATTACATTTTGGACAAGTTTTCATGGTACATGTTTATGTATCATCCAGATGTATGGAACATTGTTACACTTTAGCTTACTAGTATATCCGAAATTATTCACCTGTAATCTTCAATCATTACACTAAGTTCTCTTTGATAATCATAAAGAAATTAAATTATTAAAATTACAAACATATACTACTTATAAATGTGATGGACATTAAGAATACTAAATTGTACAGTTTAAATAAGAACACAGTGTGATAGATTTCATGTTCATAAGATATGTAATTCAACTCCGCCTGTAGCCCGCTCCTAAGAGGGATACTGCCGGTCCCAAGCCTAGATGAAGGCGGAGGGTTGGACATGGAGTTAGCGACCGTATCCCGTAGAAAGACAAAAAGAAAGCTAAAAAACGCTTACTAGCAAAAATTATTGAAACCATTTAAACTCTGTCCTGGGAGTAGAAGGAATAATTATGACGCATCATGATGAAAGCCAAGTTCCTTCGGAAGTCATGAGACTGACACTTCTTCTAACAACCAGAGCAACAATCTTTATACATACATGGAACGTTCGAACAATGTGGGAGACCGGGAGAGTTTTCCAAATTGCTGTAGAAATATGGAAATACAACCTGGGTGTGCTTGAGATCAGTGAAACACGTTGGACGCAGGTTGAACAACGACTAGCTTCAGGGCAGTTGCTGTTATACTCCGACCATGAAGAAGAAAATTCCCCAAATTCACAAGTAGTTGCATTGATGCTGTCCGAACAAGGACGAAGAGCACTTATAGCATGGGAATCTCATGGACCAATGACCGCAAAAGCCTCCTTCAAAACAAAGAAAGAGGGCATTACAATGAACATCATCCAATGCTATGCGCCTACCAGCGACTACAATGAAGACGTCAACGACCAATTCTACGATAGGCTGCAGTCGATTGTCGAGAAATGCCCAACAAAGGACCTGAGCATTCTGATGGGAGATTTAAATGTCAAGGTTGGAATGGACAACACTGGGTACGAAGACGTCATGTACTGGGAGAAAAAAACGAAAATGATGAGAGATTTGCAAACTTATGTGCCTTCAACAAACTGGACATAGGAGGCACTATATTCCCTCACAAAACCACATGGACTTCACCGGATCACAGTACACAAAATCAAATCGACCATATCTGCATCAGCAATAAGTTCAGGAGGACGATGGAGGATGTGAGAACCAGGAGAGGAGCTTATATAGCATCCGATCATCATTTGCTGGTCGCCAAGATGAAACTAAAATTTAAGAAGCACTGGACAACATCAAAAAAGTTTAATACAGCCTTTCTTCGAGATGCAGACAAACTCAACAAATTCAACATAGCCCTCAGCAACAGGTTCGAGCCCTTTCATGATCTACTCAATGGAGAGGGAACTACTATGGAGAGCAACTGGAAAGGTATCAAGGAGGCACTCGTTTCAACATGTGAGGAGGTTCTGAGCCAAAAGAAGCACCATCACAAGGAATGGATCACTGTTGGTACACTGGATAAGATTGAAGCAAGGAGAAACAAGAAGGCAGCAATCAATACCAGCCGAACAGGATCAGTAAAAGCCAAGGCACAAGCCGAATACACAGAAGTAAACAAGCAAGTGAAGAGGAGCATCAGAACCGACAAACGTAAATATGTGGAAGATTTAGCAATGACAGCGGAAAAGGCTGCAAGAGAAGGGAACATGAGACAATTATATAATATAACTAAGAAACTCGCTGGAAATTACCGTAAACCAGAAAGACCAGTGAAAAGCAAGGAAGGCCCAACTTCTAGACGAACAGGCTTGATTCTGTAAGGATCGGTCATGTACAAACCAAATCGCAACTTTATGGATCATTGTGGAACAATCAATTGAATGGAAATCATCACTCTATATCAAATTCATTGACTACGAGAAAGCATTTGATAATGTGGACAGGACAACACTATGGAGGCCTCTTCGACACTAAGGCGTATCTGAAAGGATAATCAATATCACAGGGAATTCTTATGATGGATCAATCTGCAAAATCGTTCATGGAGGACAGTTCAGTGGCTCGCTCGTCCTAAAGACCGGTGTTAGGCAAGGTTGCTTACTCTCAACATTTCTCTTTCTCCTGTTGATCGACTGGATCATGAAGACGTCAACATCTGGTGGAGGGAATCATAGGATACAGTGGACATTTAGGATGCCGCTGGACGATTTAGACTTCACATATAATCTGACTCTTCTATCACACACAACAACGAATGCAGGAGAAGACGACCAGTGTAGCAGCAGTCTCACCAGCAGTAGTTCTCAACATAAACAAAGGGAAAGTAAAACTCTCCGATACAACATAACATGCACTAATCGAATCACACTTGACGGAGAAGATTAGGAGTATGTAAAGATCTTTACATATCTAGGCAGCATCATTGATGAACACGATGAATCTGATGCAGATGTGAGGGCACGGAATGGGAAAGTAAGAGCAGCATATTTACAACTGAAGAACATCTGCAACTCAAAACAATTGTCAACCAACACCAAGATCAGAATTCTCAATACAAATGTCATGACAGTTCTACTGTATGGGGTGGAGACATGAAGAACTATGAAAGCCATCATCCAGAAGATACAGGTGTTTATTAACAGTTGTCTATGCAAAATACTTCGGATCCGTTGGCCAGATACTATCAGCAACATCCTACTGTGGGAGAGAACAAACCAGATTCCAGTGGAGGAAGAAATCGGAAAGAAGTGTTGGAAGTGGATGGGACACACATTAAGGAAATTACCCATCTGCGTCACAAAGCAAGCCCTCATATGAAGTCCTGAAAGGCAAAACAAAAAAGCGAAGACCATAGAACACATTAGGCCGAGAAATGGAGATAAACATGTGAAGAATGTATGCAATTGGATAGATATAGGAAGGAAGGTCCAGGACAGAATGAGATGGAGATTGCTGGTCATTAGCCTATGCTCTACTGGGAGTTCTCCCATTTAGCTATTTGAACGTTCATATGTAATGCATTTGTTTTACTAAAAATCATTTTACTTCTATATTTCATTCATTGAAAACAGAAGTTAAATGTCTCATCGTTTACGTTTGTTTTAGCATAATACGCTACGAGCTAACAAAAATCAAATTCAGTGACTTATAAGTTGGTTACTTTTAATTTTATTAGGTATATTTCGTTTATCGATAAGATGAACATTATTTACATTACAGACTTATAATCATATGAAGACTATTCGCGAAGTTAGTGACTTTGTAAATAAAGTATGATTCTGTTTACATAATCATATTGAAGCTCATTATTGAATGACTTTGATTATATTGTTATGCATATTGTGTGTAGATAATCAAAGAGTTCTTTATTAAGTAAGTCTATACTCTAACTAACAGGTCCAAAGTGATATTTGGTTGTTTGGACGAAGTGAATCTATAATGATAGCTTATTACATTTACTTAGTTACTTATTTACCCACGCCTGTTACTCTCAATGGATCATAGGCCGATGACCAGCGTTCTCCAACCAACACTATCCTGGGCCTTCCTTTCTAGTTCTATGCAACTTTTGTTCATTCTTCTCATATCTATTTCCATTTCTCGGCGTAATGTGTTCTTTGGTCTTCCTTTTCTGCTTTGGCCTTCAGGATTCCATGTGAGGGCTTTTGTTGTGACGCAGTTAGCTGCTTTCCTCAATGTGTGTCCTATTCACTTCCATCGCTTCTTCCTGATTTCTTCCTCCGCTGAAACACGTAGAATAGTTAACGTAAAGTTATATAGATTAACTTACATTATTATGATTCTAATCAAATGTATACAACTTTATTATCATAGAAATTAAACACAATAGAACATATACATAGTTCAGAATATATCACGTAGCAAGCCCATTCAAGAGAGAATGGGCTTGCTACAATCAAAAGAGACGGTTTAACTTTTTATCCAAATGCTTTTAGCATTAATTTAAAATGTGTCATGAATATTTAGTCCCAAATAAGACGAAACAGGCGTCCTGGATTCCACTGTTAGCCGCCATTCATCTTTGCTTATAATGCTTGTGAATTAAGGCAATATCGAGGCAATACGCACAGGATGCACATATGCCAATTAGAGACTGATCAATTGCAGTTGCAATCATCAATGGGAAGATTCAAACAAACAATACTAAGTGAATATTTAGTTATGTTTATATTTTTAGGAAATAATAATCATCATGTTATATGAGGTGAAGCATTCTTTCAATGATATCGAAATTCAAACCCTTATATCATATCATCTGATCAATCGATTCAATTAGGAACTTAAACCATCATCAAGTGTGTATTGATAAGAAGAATTATGAAATGTGGGGTTATTCTCTTATACTACTTAGTGATTCTTGAGTAGCACTGCATGTCGCTCACTACATGAACACAAGCTTAAAAACGGATTGAAGAAAAGTGATCACGCTTTTTGAATTTTATGAAATAAATATATCTGTTTTTCTCTATGATCATATTGACTAGGTGGTCGTTTTTAAATCATTATCAACGAGACAGTATTGATCGATCATGTCTGTGTATTTACACATAGAAAGCATCGTTTTTTTTTGAAACTGTCATCACAGTGACTCTTAGAAAGATACATTTTCATTCTCATCTCATCAAATTGCTTCACCAAACCTCATCAGCTTTTTTGTTCTGTATTAAGACTATTCACATCACAAAACATACAAAAAGCAAACAAAGTAAAAAATGATGTTTAGTATTCATTTTGTTTTTGGCTTTATGTAATATCTCTTTGAAACTTTTCAGACATTTAACACTGTTATTTTGTTTCTATGATAGCAAGAAAACTCCTTCAGTAACGAGGCAGCACCTACAGACCTTCCTATAGATGTCACTTCATCAACGATGGAAGAAATCAGGATGGTTGGTCATCAGACAAATCAAGAGCGCGAAAGTAGCAGAACCTGACAATAAACCAGCCAAAACTTTGAAATCAACAGAGAAGCAACTGCGAACATGCTCCAAGTTCTCTTTAAGAAGATTGGGGGGGAGTTACAAGTATATATTGTTTCTTAACAATAACTCAAAATACAATTCTCATCTGAATTAGATACAACAAAACACGATTTTCAAACATCGTGAGAAATGAATCTAATGGAATTCTCAGCATCTCACAGAATATTAAGCATTTGTTTGACGGTAGTTACAAATACAGTTCTAATAAAAATAGATTACATACAGAATTTTATCATGAGTTTATTCAGTTCCACACTACTCGAAGTAATATGAACTCCAAATAAGTAAACTGGTGATATTAACCGTAAGTCAAAACACTGTCAGGTTACTTGTTACTGAAGCTATAGATGATATGAAAGAAGAAAAGTTATTCATATCATTTATTTTCCAGAGTCCTTTGTTAGCAATAAGCAGTGTTTCATTAGTAAGATAAATTTAATCTATGAGATGAACAACTTTGA